CAGAGGGCGTGAGAGGGGGATCAGGGACAGAGATCGTGCAGAGAGGGTGGAACGGCGAGATCGTGAGAGAAGGGGGGACGGAGAGGGCTGGGGGGGGACAGAGAGCGCGTGAGAGTGGGAGGGACAGAGAGTCGCGGGGGGAGGACAGAGAGCTTTTGAAAGGGGTGATGGGGAGGGACAGGGGAGGGGAGGGACGAGAGGCGCGAGGGGGATAGAACGTGTAGAGCCGGGGACAGCGCGTGAGAGCCGGGGGACAGCGCGTGAGAGCGGGGGACACGCGTGAGAGCGGGGGAGAAGGGGGACTGAGATAGCGTGAGAAGAACATGAAGAGGGGGAAGAAGAGAACTAGAGTACTGGGCATAGGGAACAGGAGATACTGAGAGGGGGGACAGAGACTGAGAGGGGGGACAGATAAACGTGTAGGGGGCGAATAAGATAAGGTAGGCGGTGGGACACAGTAAGAAACTGAGACGTGAGGGAACAGGAGGACTTGATAGGGGGCATGACAGGGAGAGAGAACTGAGAGCGGGGTGCAGGACGTGAGAGGGGGGACAGGCGGGACAGGGGAGACAGAGATTACTTATAGAGGGGACAGAGGAGCGTGAGGGGGGGGGACAGGAAACCATTGCATGACGTGGTTCTGGCACAGGAGATGATACGTGAGACGGGGGAAATTTTAAACGGACGAGCGGGACAGGCATGGTGGCCTGTGAGCGGGAGGACAGCGCGTGAGAGCGGGTGACAGCGCGTGAGAGCGGGTGACAGCGCGACTGAGGACTAGGAGTAAAAGGGGTAAGGAGAGGACGGAGAGAAGGGGACGGATGAAGAGGCGGTGAGGACAGGGGACGTGGAGGGGAGCGTGAGAGAGGGGGACGGAGAGAGCGTGAGAGAGGGGGACGGAGAGAGCGTGAGAGAAGGGGGACGGAGAGAGCGTGAGAGAGGGGGACGGAGAGAGCGTGAGAGGGGGGGGAATCGGAGAGAAGGTGAGAGAAGGGGGACGGGGGACAGGAGAGAAGGGGACGGGAGAGGGGCGGAAGAGGGGCGGAGAGGAGCTGGAAGAGAGGGTAGGGAGGGAGACGGGAGGGAGGAGACAGAGAGCGTGAGAGGAGAGGACGGAGAGGGGCGAAGGTGAGAAGGGGGACGGAGAAGCGTGGAGAGGGGGACGGAGAGGGGGGGGTGAGAGAGGGGTACAGAAGGGGAGGAGGAGGGACAGAGCGAGACAGGGACGGAGAGGCTAGGAAGGGTGTGCAGAGACGAGGCATGAGACGGACTAGCGTGTCACGTACGAGCGGAGTCGGTGTGCTATAGCAAGCGGTCGTTGCTAGACAGGCATTTAACACTAGCTGTCACTCAGAGCGGTCGTTGCTATAGCAGCGGCGTTAATCAACTTTGAGTCTTATTTTCTCTGAGGTCCGACCAGGACCCTGTTATCATTAGTCCACACACACACACACACACACACACACACACACACACACAGAGGGTCTGTCAGAGGTGCCAACTGTCAACACATTTCTGCCAACACATCAGCACACTGGTGCCAGCTCCACTCAGACCCTCTGACACGGGTGACGACCGAGCTTGGGAGGAGGAAGGGGAGGAGGAGTGGGGAGGAGGAGTAGGGAGGAGGAAGGGGAGGATGAGTGGGGAGGAGGAAGGAGAGGAGGAGGAAGGAGAGGAGGATAGAGGGCAGAGACTGGACAGACCAGAGAAAGAGAAAGCAAGAGACAGAGATAGTCGTGTCCCTTGACGCTCATTCTGTATTTTGACACTGTAGCAGTACAGAGGTTGTTGTTCAACTCCAGACAACCTCCTAGATAACCCATCTGTCTCTCTCAACTGTTCACTCCTTCCACATCCCCTTCTCTTGGCCCTAACCCAATGTTTAGATCTACACTGAACAATATACTGTAAATGCAACATGAAACAATTTCTAAGATTTTACTGAGTTACAGTTCGTACAAGGAAATAAATTAATTAGGCCTTAATCTATGGATTTCACATGACTGGGATTACAGATTTGCATCTGTTGGTAAGAGATACAGAAACAAAGTAGCGGCGTGGACCAGAAAACCAGTCAGTATCTGGTGTGACCATTTGCCTCATGCAGCGCGACACATCTCCTTCGCATAGAGTTGGTCAGGCTGTTGATTGTGGCCTGTAGAATGTTGTCCCACTCCTTGTCAATGGCTGTGGGAAGTTGCTGGATATTGGCGGGACCTGGAACACGCTGTCGTACACGTTGATCCCAGAGCATCCCAAACATGCTCAATGGGTGACATGTCTGGTGAGTAGGCAGGCTATGGAAGAACTGGGACATTTTCAGCTTCCAGGAATTGTGTACAGATCTCGTCATGGTATCTCTGTGCATTCAAATTGCCATCGATAAAATGCAATTGTGTTCGTTGTCCATAGCGTATGCCTGCTCATACCATAACCCCACTGCCACCATCGGGCACTCTGTTCACAACGTTGACATCAGCAAACCGCTCGCCCACACGACGTCATACACATGGTCTGCCATCTGCCCGGTACAATTGAAACCGGGATTCATCCGTGAAGTCACGCTTCTCCAGCGTGCCAGTGGCCATCGAAGGTGAGCATTTTCCCACTGAGTTTGGTTACGACGCCAAACTGCAATCAGGTCAAGACCCTGGTGAGGACGACGAGCACACAGATGAGCTTCCCTGAGACGGTTTCTGACAGTTTGCAGAAATTCTTTGGTTCAGCTGTCCGGGTGGCTGGTCTCAGACGATCTCGCAGGTGAAGAAGCCGGATGTGGAGGTCCTGGGCTGGCGTGGTTACACGTGATTTGCGGTTGTGAGGCTGGTTGGACGGACTGCCAAATTCTGTAAAACGACGTTGGAGGCGGCTTATGGTAGAGAAATGAACATTCAATTATCTGGCAACAGCTCTGGTGGACATTCCTGCAGTCAGCATGCCAATTGCACGCTCCCTCAACTTGAGACATCTGTGGCATTGTGTTGTGTGACAAAACTGCACCTTTTAGTGGCCTTTTATTGGCCCCAGCACAAGGTGCACCTGTGTAATGCTCATGCTGTTTATTCAGCTTCTTGATATGCCACAACTGTCAGGTAGATGGATTATCTTGGCAAAGGAGAAATGCTCACTAACAGGGATGTAAACAAATGTGTGCACAAAATCTGAGCTAAATAAGCTTTTTGAAGAATATCTGCAATCTTTTATTTCAGCTCATGAAACATGGGACCAACACTTTACATGTTGCATTCATATTTTTGTTCAGATCTATAAGGTGTACACTGCTTAACCTGTCTAGACCCTTCAAATATGCAAAATTCAGGAAGTGGATTTAGGGGTGTGTTAAGCAGAGCACAATGTCAGATACAGTATGTTATATTCAAATATGTTATAAAGAACAAACATGCCACTCAGATATGTTAAACAACAAATCATGACAGCTCTATTCATGACATTGCTATCTGCAATGTTCCACAACGTTTGCCTATACTGAACGTGGCCCCGCTCTCTCTGTATGGTAGACGACATGTCCTGTTGCCATGCTCAACTCATCTCTCCTCAAAACTCCTGCCTGTTCCGTCTCCAGCCCAGCTCTCCCAAAACTCCTGCCTGTTTCCGTCTTCCAGCTCAGCCTCCCTCAAAATCTACTCCTGCCTGTTCCGTCCTCCACTCAGCTCTCTCCCGAAAACTCCCTGCCTGTTCCTTCCCAGCGCAGCTTCTCAGCTCAAACTCCTCAAACTCCTGCCTGTTCCAGCTCAGCTCTCCTCAAAACTCCTGCTGTTCGCGTCTGCCACCAAAATGCCCTTCATCTCTCCTCAAAACCCTGCCATGTTCCGTCTCCAGCTCAACCTCGCCTTCAAAAACTCCTGCCTGTTCCGTCTCCAGCTCAGCTCTCCTCAAACTCCTGCCTGTTCCGTCTCCAGCTCAGCTCTCCTCAAAACTCCTGCCTGTTCCGTCTCCAGCTCAGCTCTTCTCAAAACTCCTGCCTGTTCTGTCTCCAGCTCAGCTCTCCTCAAAACTCCTGCCTGTTCCGTCTCCAGCTCAGCTCTCCTCAAAACTCCTGCCTGTTCCGTCTCCAGCTCAGCTCTCCTCAAAACCCTTCCTGTTCCGTCTCCAGCTCAGCTCTCCTCAAAACTCCCTGCCTGTTCCGTCTCCCAGCTCAGCTCTCCTCAAAACTCCTGGCTGTTCTGTGTCTCCAGCTCAGCTCTCCTCAAAACTCCTGCCTGTTCCGTCTCCAGCTCAGCTCTCCTCAAAAACTCCTGCCTGTTCCGTCTCCAGCTCAGCTTCTCCTCAAACTCCTGCCTGTTCCGTCTCCAGCTCAGCTCTCCTCAAAACTCCTGCCTGTTGTCCGTCTCCAGCTCAGCTCTCCTCAAAACTCCTGGCTGTTCCGTCTCCAGCTCAGCTCTCCTCAAAACTCCTGCCTGTTCCGTCTCCAGCTCAGCTCTCCTCAAAACTCCTGCCTGTTCCGTCTCCAGCTCAGCTCTCCTCAAAACTCCTGCCTGTTCCGTCTCCAGCTCAGCTCTCCTCAAAACTCCTGCCTGTTCCGTCTCCAGCTCAGCTCTCCTCAAAAACTCCTGCCTGTTCCGTCTCCAGCTCAGCTCTCCTCAAAACTCCTGGCTGTTCCGTCTCCAGCTCAGCTCTCCTCAAAACTCCTGGCTGTTCCGTCTCCAGCTCAGCTCTCCTCAAAACTCCTGCCTGTTCCGTCTCCAGCTCAGCTCTCCTCAAAACTCCTGCCTGTTCCGTCTCCAGCTCAGCTCTCCTCAAAACTCCTGCCTGTTCCGTCTCCAGCTCAGCTCTCCTCAAAACTCCTGGCTGTTCTGTGTCTCCAGTGGCCCAGTGCGGTGTAAGAGCATGGTGCTGGCAACTCCTGTCTGTGTCCTTGCAGCAGGAAGCCCCACGTCTCTCCTCACAATGAGGGCCTTACATAAGTGTGTTTATATTGGAGCCAGCAGCCCAGCAGACTGCTCCTTCACGCATGTTCTCATTCTGTTCACTGAGTGATGGAGAAGGCTGCTCTTTACAGGGCCAAGGCTGACTACGGCCTGAGTGAGCTCACTCATGCCACTGAATCGTACCTGCACAGCAGACACAAAGGTCAGTAGGTCAGGGGTCGTGACCTCTCTTTTCCACTTCCTGTGGGTGGCCCTGCTTCCCGGGCACCGGTTGGCCCTGTGGCAGTCGCTTGGTCACATGACAGCGGGCTTATGGTGGCGACCGCCTTGTTTCCCTCTGTCAGGGCCTGTCTGCCCTCAACTGTAATCTCACCCCTACTCCCCCCTCCTCTCCTCGCCCATTCATTAACCGTTTACAGGATGCTCAGTGCTACAGTAGTGAAAGGACAGTGCTGGTGGTTAGCGTGTATACTGTCCTATATGGAGCCCAGAGCTGTCATAAGGCCCAGAGCTGTCATAAGGCCCAGAGCTGTCATAAGGCCCAGAGCTGTCATAAAGCCCAGAGCTGTCATAAGGCATGCTTCCCAGCCGAAACAATTCATATACAGTGGGGAAAAAAAGTATTTAGTCAGCCACCAATTGTGCAAGTTCTCCCACTTAAAAAGATGAGAGAGGCCTGTAATTTTCATCATAGGTACACGTCAACTATGACAGACAAAATGAGAATTTTTTTCTCCAGAAAATCACATTGTAGGATTTTTTTATGAATTTATTTGCAAATTATGGTGGAAAATAAGTATTTGGTCAATAACAAAAGTTTCTCAATACTTTGTTATATACCCTTTGTTGGCAATGACACAGGTCAAACGTTTTCTGTAAGTCTTCACAAGGTTTTCACACACTGTTGCTGGTATTTTGGCCCATTCCTCCATGCAGATCTCCTCTAGAGCAGTGATGTTTTGGGGCTGTCGCTGGGCAACACAGACTTTCAACTCCCTCCAAAGATTTTCTATGGGGTTTGAGATCTGGAGACTGGCTAGGCCACTCCAGGACCTTGAAATGCTTCTTACGAAGCCACTCCTTCGTTGCCCGGGAGGTGTGTTTGGGATCATTGTCATGCTGAAAGACCCAGCCACGTTTCATCTTCAATGCCCTTGCTGATGGAAGGAGGTTTTCACTCAAAATCTCACGATACATGGCCCCATTCATTCTTTCCTTTACACGGATCAGTCGTCCTGGTCCCTTTGCAGAAAAACAGCCCCAAAGCATGATGTTTCCACCCCCATGCTTCACAGTAGGTATGGTGTTCTTTGGATGCAACTCAGCATTCTTTGTCCTCCAAACACGACGAGTTGAGTTTTTACCAAAATGTTCTATTTTGGTTTCATCTGACCATATGACATTCTCCCAATCCTCTTCTGGATCATCCAAATGCACTCTAGCAAACTTCAGACGGGCCTGGACATGTACTGGCTTAAGCAGGGGGACACGTCTGGCACTGCAGGATTTGTGTTACTGATGGTAGGCTTTGTTACTTTGGTCCCAGCTCTCTGCAGGTCATTCACTAGGTCCCCCCGTGTGGTTCTGGGATTTTTGCTCACCGTTCTTGTGATCATTTTGACCCCACAGGGTGAGATCTTGCGTGGAGCCCCAGATCGAGGGAGATTATCAGTGGTCTTGTATGTCTTCCATTTCCTAATAATTGCTCCCACAGTTGATTTCTTCAAACCAAGCTGCATACCTATTGCAGATTCAGTCTTCCCAGCCTGGTGTCCTTTGACAGCTCTTTGGTCTTGGCCATAGTGGAGTTTGGAGTGTGACTGTTTGAGGTTGTGGACAGGTGTCTTTTATACTGATAACAAGTTCAAACAGTTGCCATTAATACAGGTAACGAGTGGAGGACAGAGGAGCCTCTTAAAGAAGAAGTTACAGGTCTGTGAGAGCCAGAAATCTTGCTTGTTTGTAGGTGACCAAATACTTATTTTCCACCATAATTTGCAAATAAATTCATAAAAAATCCTACAATGTGATTTTCTGGAGAAAAAAAATCTCAATTTGTCTGTCATAGTTGACGTGTACCTATGATGAAAATTACAGGCCTCTCTCATCTTTTTAAGTGGGAGAACTTGCACAATTGGTGGCTGACTAAATACTTTTTTTCCCCACTGTATATTGTTCTGTGTGTGTCTGTGTGTGTGTCTGATATATATATTGGTCCCATGTTTCATGAGCTGAAATAAAAGATCCCAGAAATGTTCCATATGCACAAAAAGCTTATTTCTCTCAAATTGTATGCACAATTTGTTTACGTCACTGTTAGTGAGAATTTCTCCTTTGCCAAGAGATTCCATCCACCTGACAGGTGTGGCATATCAAGAAGCTGATTAAACAGCATGATCATTATTCATTACACAGGTGCACCTTGTACCGTGGACAATAAAAGGCCACCCTAAAATGTGCCATTTTGTCACACAACACAATGCCACAGATGTCTCAAGTTTTGAGGGAGCGTGCAATTGGCATGCTGACTGCAGGAATGTCCACCAGAGCTGTTGCCAGATAATTTAATGTTAATTTCTCTACCATAAGCCGCATCCAACGTTGTTTTAGAGAATTTGGCAGTACGTCCAACCGGCCTCACAACCGCAGACCTGCTGGATCATCGGGGGGAGAGGCGTTAAGTGGGTGGGCCCTATGCCCTACCAGACCCACCCATGGCTGTGCCCCTGCCTAGTCATGTAAAATCTATAGATTAGGGCCTAATTAATTTATTTCAATTGACTGATTTCCTTATTTGAACTGTAACTCAGTAAAATATTTTAAATTGTTGCATGTTTCGTTTATATTTTAGTTCAGTGTGTATATGTATGATGACATTTTGTTAATTTTGGACTTCGGTGAGGGTTTTTTCGGGTTGTTCGGGCACACGCATTTTTTTTCTTGAGGCAAGCCGAAGTCGATAGCCGAAGTCTACGCCCCTTCGTCTGTGATTGGTCAACAGTAGGGATTCTTCAGTAAAGTTGTTTTCATGCACATTATTTTATAGAGAAATATTGCAACAAACATCTTAGTTAGATGTAAAATTACTCGACTAAGATCTCCAGCAAAAACGTCAATTAATGACAGATTTATTGAGTTATCTTCGATTAATTCGGACTATTTTGAGGAAGCGTTTGCTGGCTACGGCGTCTCAAAATGGACAAACAGTACTATTGCCGCTTTCTTCTCATTTTTCAAGCGAAGTCTTTTAAGGGAGTATGAACCACTCGTTCAGTTCGCTTAGCCAACTACGGCTAGCCGCCAGCCGAACTGAAGCATGCTGACGCCTTTTATTGAGCAGCTTCTCCTCAACCTACTTCTACTCCCTTCTCACAGCCTCTCCCTCCTCACAGCCTCTCCCTCCTCACAGCCTCTCACAGCCTCTCCCTCCTCACATCCTCTCCCTCCTCACAGCCTCTCCCTCCTCACAGCCTCTCCCTCCTCACAGCCTCTCACAGCCTCTCCCTCCTCACATCCTCTCCCTCCTCACATCCTCTCCCTCCTCACATCCTCTCCCTCCTCACAGCCTCTCCCTCCTCACAGCCTCTCCCTCCTCACAGCCTCTCACAGCCTCTCCCTCCTCACATCCTCTCCCTCCTCACAGCCTCTCCCTCCTCACATCCTCTCCCTCCTCACAGACTCTCCCTCCTCACATCCTCTCCCTCCTCACAGCCTCTCACAGCCTCTCCCTCCTAACATCCTCTCCCTCCTCACAGCATCTCCCTCCTCACATCCTCTCCCTCCTCACAGCCTCTCCCTCCTCACATCCTCTCCCTCCTCACAGCCTCTCCCTCCTCACAGCCTCTCCCTCCTCACAGCCTCTCAACAGCCTCTCCCTCCTCACTCCTCTCCCTCCTCACAGTATCTCCCTCCTCACATCCTCTCCCTCCTCACAGCCTCCTCCTCCTCACAGCCTCTCCCTCCTCACAGCCTCTCCCTCCTCACACCTCTCCCTCCTCACACAGCCTCTCCCTCCTCACACCTCTCCCTCCTCACATGCCTCTCACAGCCTCTCCCTCCTCACATCCTCTCCCTCCTCACAGTATCTCCCTCCTCACATCCTCTCCCTCCTCACATCCTCTCCCTCTCACACCCTCTCCCTCCTCACACCAGCCTCCCCCCTCCTCACAGCCTCTCCCTCCTCACAGCCTCTCCCTCCTCACATCCTCTCCCTCCTCCACAGCCCCTCTCCCTCCTCACAGCCTCTCCCTCCTCACAGCCTCTCCCTCCTCACAATCCTCTCTTCCCTCCTCACAGTATCTCCCTCCTCACAGTCCTCTCCCTCCTCACACTCTCCTCCTCCCATCCTCTCCCTCCTCACATCCTCTCCCTCCTCCCACCCTCTCCCTCCTCACAGCCTCTCCCTCCTCACACCTCTCCCTCCTCCACAGCCTCTCCCTCCTCACAGTATCTCCCTCCTCACATCCTCTCCCTCCTCACATCCTCTCCCTCCTCACAGCCTCTCCCTCCTCACAAACCTCTTCCCTCCCACACTCTCCCTCCTCACAGCCTCTCCCTCCTCCCCTTCCCTCCTCACCTCCCCTCCCTCAACTTCACAGCCCTCTCCCTCCTCACACCTCTTTCCTCCTCACAGTCTCTCCTCCTCACAGCCTCTCACAGCTCTCTCCTCCTCACAGCCTCTCCCTCCTCACAGCCCTCAACAGCCTCTCCCTCCTCACATCCTCTCCCTCCTCAGTATCGTCCCTCCTCACAGCCTCTCCCTCCTCACAGTCTCTCCTCCTCCCCTCACAGCTCTCCTCTCCCTCTCCCTCCTCACATCCTCTCCTCTCTCTCCCCTCCTCCACTGCCTCTCACAGTTCCTTCCTCCTCACATCCTCTCCCTCCTCACCGCCTCTCCCTCACTACCTCTCTCCCCTCCTCCACCGCCTCTCAATCCCTCTCTCCCATCCCTCCTCTCTCTCCTCTCTTGCTTTTCCTTACCCCCCTCCAATCCTCACTGTCCTCCATGCCAGGCAAACTAATGTGGTAAATACAATTTTGCATACAGCTGCTGGGATGCCATCTGAGTTTGTCCACGTGGGGAAATCATGGTTAGTGTGTACTGTAAGGTGTTTGATGGAAGAAGACGGAACAGAATATCATTTTAGTCTCCTGCCGGGGGCTTTGCATTTAGACATATGGGGGGAGGGAAAGCAGTGTGTTGCCATGGCAACAAATCCTAATTAGCGCGTGCTGAATGGGACTACTTCTCTGGCCGTAGCCCAGTGTATCTGGAGCTCAGTCCTCTGCTCGGCCTACTTACTCATGGGAGCAGGGAGACACTGGGATCACATCCAACGCTCCAGGGCTTCAGACTAGACCAAAGTGCCAAGCTACGGGGACACGGACGGGATGGGTCGGACACTGCCGTCAATAACTCCAGTCAAATGTATTCATTTACTGTTCGCTCCAGTCAGTAGCTATAAATCTTGTATCAATGCAATGTCTACATTTCACAATAGATGTGGGATTACTTGGATATTTAGCTTGAGGTTCTTAAGGTGTTTGATGGTTGTCCCGTGTAGCTCAGTTGGTAGAGCATGGCGCTTGCAACGCCAGGGTTGTGGGTTCGATTCCCACGGGGGGCCAGTATGAAAATGTATGCACTCACTAACTGTAAGTCGCTCTGGATAAGAGCGTCTGCTAAATTACTAAAATGTTATTTCTCATAAACCCATTTTACTATAGATGTGGTAGCTTGAGGTGTTTGATGCTTGTATTCCTTGTGAACTCTTTGAAAGCAGTGTTGGTTATTAGGGAAGTGCCCAGAACAGGTTGAGTCCTGCTAGGGCTGGGCGATATGGCCTAACTTATGGGTGATTCAGCATGCTAGCCTGTCCACTTTGTTCAGATGTTGAAATCAAGTGGCCTACCTTATTTCTCAGAATGAGAACGAGTTGCCAATTCCTTATAAAAACAACGACTCCCATTGTCAGGGCGGAGACGTGCATCTCGTCATTATATACAGATCTCTGGTGTAAATGGGGAAACGAAGGAGACGAGACCAAAAATACAACATTGAGTACAAGAGGACATAAACGCACAACAAAACCTTGATTCTTGCGATACAGACATTTGGAATATCGCGCAAAAACATACATTTGAAGGTCAGGAAGAACTCCCCACGTAGGTCAGGAAGAACTCCCCACGTAGGTCAGGAAGAACTCCCCACGTAGGTCAGGAAGAACTCCCCACGTAGGTCAGGAAGAACTCCCCACCATAGGTCAGGAAGAACTCCCCACCGTAGGTCAGGAAGAACTCCCCACGTAGGTCAGGAAGAACTCCCCACCGTAGGTCAGGAAGAACTCCCCACCGTAGGTCAGGAAGAACTCCCCACCGTAGGTCAGGAAGAACTCCCCACCGTAGGTCAGGAAGAACTCCCCACGTAGGTCAGGAAAACTCCCCACGTAGGTCAGGAAGAACTCCCCACGTAGGTCAGGAAGAACTCCCCACGTAGGTCAGGAAGAACTCCCCACCGTAGGTCAGGAAGAACTCCCCACCGTAGGTCAGGAAGAACTCCCCACGTAGGTCAGGAAGAACTCCCCACGTAGGTCAGGAAGAACTCCCCACCGTAGGTCAGGAAGAACTCCCCACGTAGGTCAGGAAGAACTCCCCACGTAGGTCAGGAAGAACTCCCCACGTAGGTCAGGAAGAACTCCCCACCGTAGGTCAGGAAGAACTCCCCACCATATGTACAGCATTATCAGTCTTTATCAGCCTTCTTTATTTCAGGGTGTGTCCTCAGTAGCTTTTCTTCACTGATCTGTTATTTTCTGCTGTAATGTTCCACAATAAAATAAACTGAGAACATTTAACAGTATCCATTTCTCTCGGATGACTCTCCCCTCTCCCCAGACCTTACTGACTGTCCCCTCCTCTCCTTTCCCCAGACCTTATTGACTGTGTCCTCCTCTCCCCTCCCCAGTCCATACTGACTGTCCCCTCCTTTCCTCTCCCCAGACCTTACTGACTGTTTCCTCCTCTCCTCTCCCCAGACCTTACTGACTGTCCTCTCCTCTCTCCTCTCCCCAGACCTTACTGACTGTTTCCTCCTCTCCCCTCCCCAGTCCTTACTGACTGTCCCCTCCTCTCCTCTCCCCAGACCTTACTGACTGTTTCCTCCTCTCCTCTCCCCAGACCTTACTGACTGTCCTCTCCTCTCTCCTCTCCCCAGACCTTACTGACTTTCCTCTCCTCTCTCCTCTCCCCAGACCTTACTGACTGTCCTCTCCTCTCTCCTCTCCCCAGACCTTACTGACTTTCCTCTCCTCTCTCCTCTCCCCAGACCTTACTGACTGTCCTCTCCTCTCTCCCCTTACTGACTGTCCCCTCCTCTCCTCTCCCCAGACCTTACTGACTGTCCCCTCCTCTCTCCTCTCCCCAGACCTTACTGACTGTCCCCTCCTCTCCTCTCCCCAGACCTTACTGACTGCTCCTCTCCCCCAGACCTTACTGACTGTCCTCTCCCAGACCTTACTGACTGTCTTTCTCCTCTCGCCCAGACCTTACTGACTGTCCCTCCATCCTCTCCTTCCTCTCCCCAGACCTTACTGACTGTCCTCTCCTCTCTCCCCTTACTGACTGTCCCCTCCTCTCCTCTCCCCAGACCTTACTGACTGTCCTTCCGCTCCTCTCCCCAGACCTTACTGACTGTCCCCCCTCCTCTCCTCTCCCCAGACCTTACTGACTGTCTCCTCCTCTCCTCTCACCCAGCCTTACTGACTGTCCTCTCCTCTCTCCTCCTCTCCCCAGGCCTTACTGACTGTCCTCTCCTCTCTCCTCCTCTCCCCAGTCCTTACTGACTGTCCCCTCCTCTCCTCTCCCCAGACCTTACTGACTGTCCCCTCCTCTCCTCTCTCCAGACCTTACTGACTGTCCCCTCCTCTCCCCAGTCCTTACTGACTGTCCCCTCCTCTCCTCTCGCCCAGTCCTTACTGACTGTCCCCCTCCTCTCGTCCTCCCCAGACCTTACTGACTGTCCCCTCCTCTCCTCTCCCCAGGACCTTACTGACTGTCCCTCCCCCCCTCCCTCCTCCTCTCCTCTCCCCAGACCTTACTGACTGTCCCCTACTCTCCTCTCCCCAGACCTTAACTGACGGTCCCCTCCTATCCTCTCCCCAGACCTTACTGACTGTCCCCTCTCTCCTCTCCCCAGACCTTACTGACTGTCCTCTCCCCAGACCTTACCTGACTGTCCCCTCCTCTCCTCTCCCCAGACCTTACTGACTGTCCCCTCCTCTCTCCTCTCCCCAGACCTTACTGACTGTCTCCTCCTCTCCTCTCCCCAGACCTTACTGACTGTCCTCTCCTCTCTCCTCTCCCCAGACCATACTGACTGTCCTCTCCTCTCTCCTCTCCCCAGACCTTACTGACTGTCCTCTCCCCAGACCTTACTGACTGTCTCCTCCTCTCCTCTCCCCAGACCATACTGACTGTCCTCCCGCTCCTCTCCCCAGACCTTACTGACTGTCCCCTCCTCTCCTCTCCCCAGACCTTACTGACTGTCCCCTCCTCTCCTCTCCCCAGACCTTACTGACTCTCCTCTCCCCAGACCTTACTGACTGTCCCCTCCCCTCCTCTCCTCTCCCCAGTCCTTACTGACTGTCCCCTACTCTCCTCTCCCCAGACCTTGCTGACGGTCCTCTCCTCTCCCCAGACCTTACTGACGGTCCCTCCTCTCCCCAGACCTTACTGACTGTCCCCTCCTCTCCTCTCCCTAGACCTTACTGACTGTCTTCTCCCCAGACCTTACTGACTGTCTTCTCCTCTCCCCCAGACCTTACTGACTGTCCCCTCCTCTCCTCTCCCCAGACCTTACTGACTGTCCCCCTCCTCTCCTCTCCCCAGACCTTACTGACTGTCCTCTCCCCAGATCTTACTGACTGTCCCCTCCTCTCCTCTCCCCAGACCTTACTGACTGTCCTCTCCTCTCTCCTCTCCCCATACCTTACTGACTGTCCTCTCCTCTCTCCTCTCCGCAGACCTTACTGACTGTCCTCTCCCCAGACCTTACTGACTGTCTCCTCTCCTCTCCTCTCCCCCAGACCTTACTGACTGTCCCCTCCTCTCCTCTCCCCAGACCTTACTGACTGTCCCCTCCTCTCCTCTCCCCAGACCTTACTGACTCTCCTCTCCCCAGACCTTACTGACTGTCCCCTCCCCTCCTCTCCTCTCCCCAGACCTTACTGACTGTCCCCTACTCTCCTCTCCCCAGACCTTACTGACGGTCCTCTCCTCTCCCCAGACATTACTGACGGTCCTCTCCTCTCCCCAGACATTACTGACTGTCCCCCTCCTCTCCTCCTCTCCCCAGACCTTACTGACTGTCCTCTCCCCAGACCTTACTGACTGTCTTCTCCTCTCCCCAGACCTTACTGACTGTCCCCTCCTCTCCTCTCCCCAGACCTTACTGACTGTCCCCTCCTCTCTCCTCTCCCCAGACATTACTGACTGTCCCCCTCCCTCCTCTCCCCAGACCTTACTGACTGTCCCCTCCTCTCTCCTCTCCCCATACCTTACTGACTGTCCCCTCCCCTCCTCTCCTCTCCCCAGACCTTACTGACTGTCCCCTACTCTCCTCTCCCCAGACCTTACTGACGGTCCTCTCCTCTCCCCAGACATTACTGACGGTCCTCTCCTCTCCCCAGACATTACTGACTGTCCCCTCCTCTCCTCTCCCCAGACCTTACTGACTGTCCTCTCCCCAGACCTTACTGACTGTCTTCTCCTCTCCCCAGACCTTACTGACTGTCCCCTCCTCTCCTCTCCCCAGACCTTACTGACTGTCCCCTCCTCTCTCCTCTCCCCAGACATTACTGACTGTCCCCTCCTCTCCTCTCCCCAGACCTTACTGACTGTCCCCTCCTCTCTCCTCTCCCCATACCTTACTGACTGTCCCCTCCTCTCTCCTCTCCCCAGACCTTACTGACTGTCCCCTCCTCTCTCCTCTCCCCAGACCTTACTGACTGTCCCCTCCTCTCTCCTCTCTCCAGACCTTACTGACTGTCTCCTACTCTCCTCTTCCCAGACCTTACTGACTGTCCCCTCCCCATCTCTCCTCTCCCCAGACCTTACTGACTGTCCCCTCCTCTCGTCTCCCAGACCTTACTGACTGTCCCCTCCTCTCGTCTCCCCAGACCTTACTGACTGTCCCCTCCTCTCGTCTCCCCAGACCTTACTGACTGTCCCCTCCTCTCGTCTCCCCAGACCTTATTGACTGTCCCCTACTCTCCTCTCCCCAGACCTTACTGACTGTCTCCTACTCTCCTCTCCCCCAGACCTTACTGACTGTCCCCCTCCTCTCCCCAGACCTTACTGACTGTCCCCTACTCTCCTCTCCTCCCCAGTCCTTACTGACTGTCCCCCTCCCCATCTCTCCTCTCCCCCCAGACCTTACTGACTGTCCCCTCCTCTCCTCTCCCCAGACCTTACTGACTGTCCCCTCTCCTCCTCTCCTCTCCCCAGACCTTACTGACTGTCCCCTCCTCTCCTCTCCCCAGACCTTACTGATTGTCCCCTCCTCTCCTCTCCCCCAGACCTTACTGACTGTCCCCATCCTCTCGTCTCCCCAGACCTTACTGACTGTCCCCTCCTCTCCTCTCCCCAGACCTTACTGACTGTCCCCTCCTCTCTCCCCAGACCTTACTGACTGTCCCCTCCTCTCTCCTCTCCCCAGACCTTACTGACTGTCCCCTCCCCTCTCCTCCTCTCCTCTCCCCAGACCTTACTGACTGTCCCCTCCTCTCTTCTCCCCAGACCTTACTGACTGTCCCCTCCTCTCCTCTCCCCAGACCTTACTGATTGTCCCCTCCTCTCCTCTCCCCAGACCTTACTGATTGTCCCCTCCTCTCCTCACCCCAGACCTTACTGACTGTCCCCTCTCTTCTCTCCCCAGACCTCCCCTGCCAGAGAGCTCCATGGAGAAGATGAAGAAGTTTAGGAGGAGGCTGTCCCAGACTCTGCGAGGGAGTCAGACCATCGATGAGTCTCTGTCTGAACTGGCTGAACAGATGAACACAGAGGAGAATGGCATCAAGGACAGCGGTGAGGGGTGGTGTGTGTTTGTGATGGACAGAGTGTGTGAATGGATGAATGAATGTGTGGTTATGTGGATGTAACGTGAGTCACTGTTTCTGTTTGATACTACTCACTACTATGATACCACTCACTACTCATTATTATTCCTCCAAGTTAGGGGCTAGACGGTTGTATGTAGCCTGTGAGGCGTCAAAACAAAGATAGTGTGACATAGCTAGTTAATGATCTCTCAGCTGATATTAAGCCTTCCAGGGATAGTCTGGTGTCTGGTGTTGTCGTTGGCTGCCATGGTGTTGCTATGGTGCTGGCTTCTCAGGGTCTCGAACGTTCTAGAGTTTCCATGACATTGCCACAGTGACTTAGAGGACTCCGTGAAAGCAGCTGAGCATCTTGAAGCACATTTCTCTCCTCCTTCTCTGTTCTCTGTCTCTCTCGCTCGCTCTTTACATCACCAGGCTTTATCAATGTTTTCCCCAGCTTCCCAGCTCCCCTCTACTTTTCTTCAACAGCTCCCCTCTCTTCTCTCCTTTAACCCAGCTTCTCTCTCTCTCCTTCCCTCTCTTCTCTCCTTTAACCCAGCTTCCCTCTCCTTCCCTCTCTTCGCTCCTTTAACCCAGCTTCCCTCTCTTCTCTCCTTCCCTCTCTTCTTCTCTCCTTTAACCCAGCTTCCCTCTCCTTCCCTCTCTTCGCTCCTTTAACCCAGCTTCCCTCTCTTCTCTCCTTCCCTCTCTTCTCTCCTTCCCTCTCTTCTTCTCTCCTTTAACCCAGCTTCCCTCTCCTTCCCTCTCTTCTTCTCTCCTTTAACCCAGCTTCCCTCTCCTTCCCTCTCTTCGCTCCTTTAACCCAGCTTCCCTCTCTTCTCTCCTTTAACCCAGCTTCCCTCTCCTTCCCTCTCTTCTCTCCTTTAACCCAGCTTCCCTCTCTTCTCTCCTTCCCTCTCTTCTCTCCTTCCCTCTCTTCTTCTCTCCTTTAACCCAGCTCCCCTCTCCTTCCCTCTCTTCCCTCCTTCCCTCTCTTCTTCTCTCCTTTTAGCCAGCTCCCCTCTCCTTTTCTCCAACAGAGGATGTTGCTATTCACTCAATCATCTCATCCCATGTTTTTTTTCTGGGCTTTTAAAGAGCTTTTAACTCCAGATCTGCCCTGATTGTTCCCTGCTCATGATTAGGGACAGATTAGGTGTGTGTGATAATGAAGTTGTGTGGAGGAGGATGATTGACGTGCTTGTGCCTGTGTGTTCTGTGCGGAGGGGATTGTGTTGTGGCAGTCTGCTGCGTGTTCCAATAGAAGTTGAGGAGACCGAACGGAGTGGTCAGATAGATGAGGAGAGATGGTGTGATGGGGAGGAGTCCTAATATCATAGTCTTGATCTGATTTTATATAACACTACAACACAGCAGTAGTAGTGGAATAAGAGATGTGGTGTGTGTGTGTGTTATCAAGTAACGGTGTAGGAGGGAGTGTGTTTGGTCATCTGTTGTTTTGACAGACTGTGTTTTCTCTCTGATTTAATGTTCTTCCTCCATCTTTGATCTTAATCCTATTGTTAATGTTCTCTATATCCCTCTCTCTCTCTGTATTCATGTATTCTTATCTTTATCTGTCCAGACACAAGGCCTAATAATACCTAAAGACCTTGCATATCCTGACAATATGCCTAGTTTTAGGCCTTGGGTTTTCCCTGGTCAGGTTACTTGGTTCGGGGAAACCTCCTGGTTCCGTCTATGCTAAACAATACAGGTTAAGGTAGTCCTGTATTGATGATTCACACAGTTCTCTCTTCCTACCCCCCCCAGGGACCATGGTGCATAACGGTCACGGTCTTCCACCCTCGGCCCACAGTGTTCACTCCTTCCTGCACCAGTACACTAGTTCCTTCAAGAAGCCCCCACTACGGAGACCCCAGAGTGTCATAGGAGGAGGAGGGCTAGGGTCTCTGGTGGCCATGCAACGCAACGGCAGCCGCCTCGGTGAGACAACACACACACACAGGCATGGACACACACACACACAGGCATGGACACACACACACACACACACACAGAGTGTCAGTTGAGCCAGGAGAGCAGGTAGGACAGTGGAAACTGACCAGGGAGTGGTTGCTGCTATAGTTCCCAGCAGCAGCAGCAGTGGATGACGTTGAGTTGATGGAAAGAATAACATTCACTCATACGTTTATGGGGCCCCTGCTCTTATCAAGTACTGATTATACAGTCGTCCTTGTCAGGGCGTGCATTTTTTGCCATATTGACCTCATCCTGTAAAAATGGCTCATCTCTCTCTCTCTCTCGCTCTCCTCTCCTATCTCTCATCTCTCTCCCTCTCTCTTAGACATCGTCCATGAGAATATGAAGATGGGCTCTGACGGAGAGAGTGACCAGGCATCAGGGACGAGCTCAGACGAGGTTCAGTCCCCCACAGGGGTGTGTCTGAGGAACAGGGGCAACCGACGCATCTCTGCAGAGGTACGTCTAGCCCACCGTCTCCCACCTTCATCCATCCATCTGTCATCCCTTCATCCCTTCACCGCCCACTCAGGGGTGGAGGAGGATAGGAAGGGGTGGAGGAGGATAGGAAGGGGTGGAGGAGGATAGGAAGGGGTGGAGGAGGATAGGAAGGGGTGGAGGAGGATAGGAAGGGGTGTTTGTTAGAGGCATTCAACTTCTTTTGGAGGACAATGGAAGTTTAGGGGGGAAATCATTTTTTATTAAACCAAGTAGGAATGAGTTTTGCCGTGTAACAAATAGATTTCCGTTCCACTGTCCTACATGAGTGACTCACGATCTCTCACCTCTCGTACCCTTGGTAGTATACACTCACCGGACAGTTTATTAGGTATACCACCCGTTCGTGAAAACGGATCGCTCCTACAGACAGTGAGTCACGTGGCCGTGGCTTGCTATATAAAGCAGACAGGCATCGAGGCATTCGGTTACTAGAAAAGGGAAAAACGAGTGACCTAAGTGACTTTGAGCGTGGTTTGATTGTCGGTGCCAAGCGCGCCGCATCCAGTATCTCAGAAACGGCCACCCTCCTGGGCTTTTCACGCACTACAGTGTCTAGAGTTTCCCGAGAATGGTGCGACAAACAAGAACACATCCAGTCAGCAGCAGTCCTGTGGGCGAAAACAGCTCGTTGATGAGAAGGATTGGTTGATTGGTCGAAGGAGAATGGCAAGAATAATAGGCAATCCACAAAGAGACGAATTCAGGCTGTTCTGGAGGCAAAGAGGGGTCTGACCCGGTACTAGCTGGGTGTACCTAATAAACTGGACGGTGAGTGTATATTTCCCTTAGGAAGTGAGTGGTGTGTTTGACAGTATGAATAAGTTACTCTGTGTGGTCTCCTGGCTTGGGTGGATGAACCCAAACAGTCTAACACGTCCTCGGCTGCCCACGGAATCTTAGCACATACAGTTGAAGTCGGAAGTTTACATACACTTAGGTTGGAGTCATTAAAAACTCGTTTTTCCTACCACTCCACAAATTTTTGGTTAACAAACTATCGTTTTGGCAAGTCGGTTAGGACATCTACTTTGTGCATGACACAAGTAATCTTTCCAACAATTGTTTACAGACAGATTATTTCACTTATAATTCACTGTATCACAATTCCAGTGGGTCAGAAGTTTACAAACACTAAGTTGAATGTGCCTTTAAACAGCTTGGAAAATTCCAGAAAATTATGTCATGTCTTTAGAAGCTTCTGATAGGCTAATTGACATCATTTGAGTCAATTGGAGGTGTACCTGTGGATGTATTTCAAGGCCTACCTTCAAACTCAGTGCCTCTTTGCTTGACATTATGGGAAAATCAAAAGAAATCAGCCAAGACCTCAGAAAAATGTTTTGTAGACCTCCACAAGTCTGGTTCATCCTTGGGAGCAATTTCCAAACGCCTGAAGGTACCACGTTCATCTGTAAAAACAATAGTACGCAAGTATAAATACCATGGGACCACGCAGCCGTCATACCGCTCAGGAAGGAGACGCGTTCTGTCTCCTAGAGATGAACGTACTTTGGTGCGAAAAGTGCAAATCAATCCCAGAACAACAGCAAAGGACCTGGTGAAGATGCTGGAGGAAACAGGTACAAAAGTATCTATATCCACAGTAAAACGAGCCCTATATCGACATAATCTGAAAGGCCGCTCAGCAAGGAAGAAGCCACTGCTCCACAAACCGCCATAAAAAAGCCAGACTACGGTTTGCAACTGCACATGGGGACAAAGATCTGACTTTTTGGAGAAATGTCCTCAGTTTCATCAGACCAATGACTATCGTTATGTTTGGAGGAAAAAGGGGGATGCTTGCAAGCCGAAGAACACCATCCCAACCGTGAAGCACGGGGGTGGCAGCATCATGCTGTGGGGGTGCTTTGCTGCAGGAGGGACTGGTGCACTTCACAAAATAGACGGCATCATGAGGAAGGAAAATTATGTGGATATATTGAAGCAACATCTCAAGACATCAGTCAGGAAGTTAACGCTTGTTCGCAAATGGGTCTTCCAAATGGACAATGACCCCAAGCATACTTCCAATGTTGTAGCAAAATGGCTTAAGGACAACAAAGTCAAAGTATTGGAGTGGCCATCACAAAGCCCTGATCTCAATCCTATAGAAAATTTGTGGCCAGAATTGAAAAAGCGTGTGCGAGCAAGGAGGCCTACAAACCTGACTCAGTTACACCAGCTCTGTCAGGAGGAATGGGCCAAAATTCACCCAACTTATTGTGGGAAACTTGTGGAAGGCTACCCAAAACGTTTGACCCAAGTTAAACAATTTAAAGGCAATGCTACCAAATACTAATTGAGTGTGTGTAAACTTCTGACCCACTGGGAATGTGAAGAAAGAAATAAAAGCTGAAATAAATCATTCTCTCTACTATTATTCTGACATTTCACATTCTTAAAATATAGTGGTGATCCTAACTGACCTAAGACAGGGAATATTTACTAGGATTAAATGTCAGGAATTGTGAAAAACTGAGTTTAAATGTATTTGGCTAAGGTGTATGTAACCTTCCGACTTCAACTGTACGTAATCTTAGCACGTACGTAATCTTAGCACGTACGTCAATTTGACACGTACGTAAATGTAACCTGTATGTAAACTTAACACGTAGGTAATCTGACCATGTGTCACACCACCAGCATGTCCTCATATGACTCATCAAGCTAATAGTGTGTGTGACAGACCAGACAAGACCCACCAGCAACGTTGTTTATCATCAAACTAGTATCCGGAATCTAAATCTTACTACTGTAAATCTTTGGAAGTCATTAAACTGTAAAGTGCATATGATGAGTGATGTTCGCTAGGAAAAGGGATTGGTGGTTTTCCAGCAACGAGGCCTGCCTTGGAAACAACAAAACAGAAGAGAAAAATCGATGGGTGTTTTTTTTCTTCACCATTGGCATTCACAACATCAAAAACCTGATGACGTAAAACCACATGGTGCATTTGCTTTCATACTGTTGCATATTGACACAGAACACTTCTATTGATGTACTATATGCATACAGAAAGGTTTGAGTCTGGTAGAAACCTACTGCGTGTCCCTTACTGTACATATTGACAGAGCATTTTCTTGTTTGAACTTTTATACAGTACCAGTCAAAAGTTTGGACACACCTACTCATTTAAGGGTTTTTCTTTATTTTTTACATTGTAGAATAATAGTGAAGACATCAAAACTATGAAATAACATGTAGTAACCAAAAAATATGTTAAACAAATCAAAATATGTTATATTTGAGATTCTTCAAATAGCCACCCTTTGCCTTGATGACAGCTTTGCACACTCTTGGCATTCTCTCAACCAGCTTCATGAGATAGTCACCTGGCATGCATTTCAAATAACAGGTGTGCCTTGTAAAACGTTAATTTGTGGAATTTCTTTCCTTCTTAATGCGTTTGAGCCAATCAGTTGTGTTGTGACAAGGTAGGGGTAGTATACAGAAGATAGCCCTATTTGGTAAAAGACCAAGTCCATATTATGGCAAGAACAGCTCAAATAAGCAAAGAGAAACAACAGTCCATCATTACTTTAAGACATGAAGGTCAGTCAATATGGAAAACTTTTAAAGTTTCTTCAAGTGCAGTGGCAAAAACCATCAAGCGCTATGATTAAACTGGCTCTCATGAGGACCGCCACAGGAATGGAAGACCCAGAGTTACCTCTGCTGCAGAGGATAAGTTCATTAGAGTTACCAGCCTCAGAAATTGCAGCCCAAATAAATGCTTCAGAGTTCAAGTAACAGACACATCTCAACATCAACTGTTCAAAGGAGACTGCGTGAATCAGGCCTTCATGGTCGAATTGCTGCAAAGAAACCACTACTAAAGGACACCAATAAGAAGAAGAGACTTGCTTGGGCCAAGAAACACGAGCAATGGACATTAGACCGGTGGAAACGTGTCCTTTGGTCTGACAAGTCCACATTTCTGATGTTTGGTTCCAACCGCCGTGTCTTTGTGAGACGAGGAGGAGGTGTGATGGTGTGGGGGTGCTTTGCTGGTGACACTGTCAGTGATTTATTTAGAATTCAAGGCACACTGAACCAGCATGGCTACCACAGCATTCTGCAGCGATACGCCATCCCATCTGGTGGGACTATCATTTGTCTTTCAACAGGACAATGACCCAACACATCTCCAGGCTGTGTAAGGGCTATTTGACCAAGAAGGAGTGTGATGGAGTACTGCATCAGATGAGCTGGCCTCCACAATCCCATGACGTCAACCCAATTGAGATGGTTTGGGATGAGTCGGACCGCAGAGTGAAGGAAAAGCAGCCAAGAAGTGCATATGTGGGAACTCCTTCAAGACTGTTGGAAAAGCATTCCAGGTGAAGCTGGTAGAGAGAATGCCAAGAGTGTGCAAAGCTGTCATGAAGGCAAAGGGTGGATATTTGAAGAATCTCAAATATAAAAAATTAAAAAATGGTTTAACACTTTTTTGGTTACTACATGACTCCATATGTGTTATTTCATAGTTTTGATGTCTTCACTATCATTTTACAATGTAGAAAATAGTAAAAAAATAAAGAAAAACCCTTGAATGAGTAGGTGTGTCCAAACTTTTGACTGGTACTGTACATATTAAGATTTTATATCAAAACATCAAACAGTATGACGATACAGACAGAGTATTATCTGTGAATGTACTTTATGCCTTACAGAGGTTTGAGTCTGGTTGTGCAGCGCAGTGGTTAAACTCTCTGACAGGGAAACGCATTGTATGTTCTTTACGACCTGCTGAGCCATCACCAGGGAGAAGGCAGAGGGGGAACATCTGATTGGACAACAGAGGTCCACTCCAACTGTGTTTATTGGTTGTTTTGACCACAGACCCTCTGGGGATTTGCCAGGGCTCCTGTCTCTGCGTTCAAAAGACCAAGGTTGCGTCCCAAATGGCACCATGTTCCCTATGTAGTGTGCTACTTTTGAACTAGGGTGACAGTTGGGAATAATGTGTCAGTTGGGACGCAGGCCAAGTGCTTAGGCCGGATTAAAAAAAACCAAACCAAAAAACGTTAAGCAGCTTATTTCGGGGGGGGGGGGGGGGGGGGGGGGGTACACAGGAACATGGAAAC